CGAGGCGCGCCGTCTCCTCGCGCTGCCGCGCTCTTTTCGCCGCGGCGACGCGCTCCCGTAGATCGTCGAGCGTCCGGAGCCGCTCCTCGTCCGAGGGCCCGGCGCCGCCGCCGCTCGTCTCCTGGTCCGCCGCGCCGGCGACGGCGTCGCCGAGGTGCGCCGCGCGCCGCATGTGGTAGTGCAGCCGGTGCGCGACCTCGCGGACCGCGTCGCGCGGCTCCCGCAAACTCGCGGCCGACGACTCCGAGAGCCCGAGGGACACGGCCTGCTGGCGGAGCTGCGCGAGGGCGTCCCCGAGCCGCAGGGCCGCGGCCTCGCAGGCGCGCCGCCGCTGCGCCGTCTCCTCGCGGAGCCGGTCGCACGACTCCGCGGACTCCGAGCTCTGCTTCTGGAACTCCGCCTGGAGGCGCTGGTAGGCGTCGCGCTCGTCGGCGACGACGAAGTAGCGCTCCCGCGTCAGCGCCGCGGCCCAGGCCGCGCACTGGTCCTCGTCGTCGGCCTTGAAGAAGAACGACCGGAGCGGGATGTCCGGCGGCGTCGAGAGGCGAATCGTGTTCCGCGCGACGACTTCGACTTCGGTGTAGTACTCGAGGTCGATGATGCCCCGCGCCGACTCGCTGTGCTCGCCGTCGTAGTAGTACAGTAAGGTCTGGGGCACGAGGGCGCAGTAGCGCCGCTGCCAGACCTGCTGCTCGTTGCGCTTCGTCAGCACGCCCGTGCGCACGCCGAGGCGCGTCGCCACGGCGGCCGTCTTCGGCGGGCTCGACTTGATCGTCAGCGTCGTGTTGTTGCTCGAGTTTCCGCGGAGGTCGCCGAGGAACGTGTTCATGGCGGCGGCAAGAGCGGGCGTCGACCACCCTCGATCTCAGCTTGTGGTATTTCGATGGGTGCAAGTTAGCACGGTGCTTGCCGAATGTAAAAAAGCGCGCACTGATCCAGCTCTCACGTTCGGGTCCTCGCAAGCCGTCGCCGCCGTCGTCGCGTCGTCGTCGTCCTCCTCCTCCTCGCGTCCCCGCGCCCTCGCGCTCGCCCGGGCGCGTCCCGACGGCGCCGAACCGTCCTCTCAACATCATCTCATCCCACTCCTCAAGGAGCCTTGGGAACCATCCGAAACATGAGCATGCGCTCGCCGTCGACGCGCGCCTGCGCCCGGCGGCCGCGCCACTACGGCGACGCCGACGCCGGCGACTCGTCCGACGACGCGGGCGACCGCAAGCGGCGGCGGCGCGCGGCGGCGCGCCGCGGGCCGTCGCGGAGCGGGTACCCGTCGGACGCCGGCTCGGCCGCGGCCGCCAAGCTCGCGGACCTCAAGGCCTACCTCATCCGGAACGGCGCCGCGGTCCCGGAGGACTTCGGCGCCTGGTACGTCGAGTTCATCCCCCGGGGCGACGCGTACTTCTTCGCCGCGGACGGCTCCCGCTACCGGTCGCGGACCGAGGCGCTCCGCGCGCTCGCGCCCGGCGCCACCGCGGCGCCGGCGCCCCGCGCCGCGGCGCCCCGGGCGGGGGCGGCGCCCCGCCCCGCGCCGCCGCCGCCGCCGTCCGCGGACTCGTACGCCGTCGACGACCCGCCGACGGCCGCCGCCGCCCGCGCCAGCGTCCCGACCTTCGAACCCTTCGGTCGCGTTCGCTTCGGCTTGGACGAGTCGTTTTTCTTTCCTCGACGTCGTGTTTGAAGATGTGGTCCTCGCAGGTCCGCGCGGCGCTCGACGCCGCGTCCGCGCGCGCGGAGCGGGGCCGCCAGGCCTCGGCGCTCGTCGCCCGGGCGCTCCTCGACGGCCTCGCGGACGCCGAGCCCGACGCGGCGGCGCTCGCCAAGCTCGCGCGGTCCGCGATGAAGCTCGCCGCCTGGCGCGAGGTCCCGGCCGCCGCGGCCGCCGCCGAGCCCCCGGCCGCCGCGGCCGAGGAGCCCCCGGCCGCGGCCGAGGAGCCCCCGGCCGCCGCGGCCGCGCCGGCCGCGGCCGAGGAGCCCCCGGCCGCCGAGGCCGAGGAGCCCCCGGCCGCCGCGGCCGCCGAGCCCCCGGCCGCCGCGGCCGCGCCGGCCG